AAATGGTACTCAAATCAAGTCAAAGAGGAGCCAAATGACACTTCCAAGGTCAAACATATGAGCTTGTAGCAACGCAAAATGAAAAGATAATACTCTGTTCCCTCATGTGATATGAACTCAAAAGGCAAGTGATGCCACAATGTGGTTTGATGTTCCAACCACTTCGAGTTCCCAGAGAAAACATGCCACAGTGTTTAAGTTAACTAAGCATATCGTCCTACTCCTTTCAATATAACTAGGTATAGTGGTATACTAGAGCAACATACAAGAAACTCAAATCAATAGCAAAAAATAATAACAATCATAAGAAATTTTATGCAAATTTCATGTTACAAGAAAAATGTAAGACCATTAAATGCAGCATACAATGTTATTTAATTCAAGAAGGTGCCGATCTTCTCCGTTGGCAGACTCGTAGTAGCTAATGGCTTGCTCCCTTGAAGATGTTGACATTTCAAGCAATACATCTAATGCCTGAAAATGAAAGACACCAAAGTTCAACATAGACATGTATATATGCTTCCTTCCTAACATCCTGAAAAGAAAACTAGCATTTTCGCTATGATACAACAACCATGTTATGAAAGAGAGAGATGAAGAAAGTGGAAAACAAGGTTTACTGCTATAACATAAAATATGCCAGGACAAAATAAGACGTGTATAACTTGGGATACTCGGGACAACCAGAAATGCAAACCCACCTCAGAACATGCAAACCCCCAGTTTTGATCATTTCTCATCATTGCTACTCCAAAATCCGAAGGTTGTCATTAAAGATAAGCCAAGATCAAAATTCTAAACCCAGCAACCAAAGAAATCCCCAAACTATAACCAAATATATCTTAACCACCTACAAATGAACATTGACATGAATTTAAAGGTCTTTCCGTCTTTTGTTCCAGAATGCATGACATTTAATTTGATGGAGGTCTTACCAGAGAAAATTGAGTAAAATAGCGACATTAAAACATTTATTTTTATAACATGCGCATTTGTGGTGAAAATAGAGATAAATTAACTATCTTACCTTATCAATGTTATATCCACACTGACCTGCAAAGATTGAAGATAAATTTACTCGTCACGCACTATCAAGGCTACCATCATGAAGAATTTAATATAAATTTCTCATTCATAACTCTGTAATACACATCTTATTCAAATTAGAGGATGCCAAACTTTTTATTACATGGTTCATCAGGGTCTCAATAAGTAACTCCATATCATAATTAAAGCAACTTACACACCAATGTCAAAAAAAGTTGAAAGAACTGACTTAGGAAAAATACCAGCACTATAGTGCATGTATTCCCAGATTTTGAACCGACATATTATAACCTTACAGCTTTGTATGGTCAGTTAGATACCTCAACACTCAGCAACTCACTGTTTTGAGCAAATATATATAAAAAAAAGATCCATACATCATAAGCCCAACTCTCTAACACTTCACATTAGGATATTATAATTTATTTACTTTTATTACAGAACATCTCCAAGGTAGAAAGATATTCAATAATAAAGGTTCAGAAAGACATGTGTTGAAACGAAAACAACGAAAAAGATAGCAAGGTAACTCACTTAGTACATCACTAACTACAGCCAAACTTAATTCACAGTCATCTCCAAGCATCGAGCACAAGAACTGTTCAGCTTCATCCTTGCACCATCTCTCCTCATGAAACCCATTCAACTTAGGGGAACCCTTCTTTGGGATAGACCTCACATAATCTTTTCCCAACACCGTTGACACAGTGCCTGCAGAAGCAATAACCTTCTTTGATTTGGGTTTACTCTTCAGCTTAAACCCATCTTGAACATAATTAATTGAATCACCAAACACCTCCGATACACTGGAGCTAGAGCTCGAACCCACGTCACAATACCCACTAGAACTCGAACCCACACAACAATACCCACTAGAACTTGAAGACGTGGTGATCTGATCGGGCTCCTGAGCCGCACTCTTTGTGAGGATAATTTCTGCAGCCTTGTTCGGGTCGCTGTTTGCTTCTGCATAAGCCAAAGCAGCTTCCTTCACCGACATAGAACCAAAAGCATCTACCAAATGTTTGAGAACCCTTTGTTCATCGTCATCGCCATTTTTGGGATGATTTTCAGCATTCCCGGTTTTGGAAACCCCGGATCTCTTCTTCTTCTTCTTCGATTGCTTCGTCATTCGGATTTATGCCTTACAGATGCATACAACTATAGACCAAGTTCACCTCTCTAAAAAAAAACAACAGATGTTATGAACATTTGAAATCACAAGAACAACAACAAAACGGCAAATGCTAGAAGAAACCTCTTTTCGACAGCAGGTGAACAAACTCAGGTCAATATCTGAAAGCCGATGAAACCCTTTCAAACTAGATGGAAGTTGAGCAGGCAACCACGATAATCGGGGGTTCAAATTCGGGGGAAAAATCAATTAAAAACAACTATAGACCGAAGTTCACCTCTCTAATAAAACAACAACAGATGTTATGAACATTTTAAATCACAAGTACAACAAGAAAACGGCCAATGTTAAAAAAAACCTCTTTTTGACAGCAGACGAACAAACTCAGGTCAATATCTCATAGTCGACTGCAACTATAAAAATCAAAAAATGAAACCCTTTAGAGCAAAGTTGAGCAGGCAACCACGAAAATCAAGGGTTCAAATTCGGGAAAAAATAAATGAAAAACGATCAAATGAAATGGAGACAGGATGCACAATCTCAATCTTCATACTGAAAAAAAAACCGTCGGGATTCTGGGTTTCAAATTTTGGGAAGAGAACAAAAGTAAACGGCAAAAGATAAATCCCTAATCATATGATATGGGAGTGAATGAGCTCCCCCAAAAAGAACAATTTTCATTTTATTTCGCTTTCAACCTGCTGAAGAAAAAATTTGAAAGTACTTTTTTTGTGGCCGATGGGTAAATTTGATGTGTGGACCATCTTTTATTCATTTTCTCCTAATAATACCCATGGCCAATAGTAATTTTCTAGTCATAGCCACGGTCCGGAATTGACCCGGCGAACTGGCCCGGACCTTGACCACGGTTCGTAAACCGGCCCGGCATTTAGTCTGCTCCGATTCCGGTTTATGTTTTTAAGAAAATAATTGAATTGTCGGTTTCGACTCGTGGGATGCACCTAGGAATAACCAAAACACTTGAAACTAGGAAATAGAATAATAACTAACATTTATATCCGTGGGATGCACGAGATGTATATTAAATCATAGTATAATATTTATTATTTTTATTTTTACTTCTTAGAAGAATGCATATTTGATTTTTTTTTCTTTTTTTTTTTGCTGAAATGATAGAGATATTTTATAATCAAAAACCGCACAAAGTGCAAAGGGAAAACATTCAAAGTTGATAGATAAGGATATTTATTAGCTAGATGAGGGTAACAATAGAAAAATATGTACAAATATCCGAAACGACATTTATTTTGATAATAGTTGATAATATCAAAATGACAAAAATATAGGAGGTAGTACATTTTTTTTGTTGTATTATTTTTCCAATTTTTACATTTTCATTATGATTTTAGGATTCCGTTGAAGTCATTACCTTCTTTTCCTATGTAGTCATAATCTATTTGAATGATGTATTCAATTACGTTCCTTTACCTATGTACTCATCCCCAATTTGAATGACATGGGTTCTCCACGTGTCCTCCATCGAAGAAATTCATATGAACTTTAATTTTGTTTTCTTGTTCCAATGTAATGTAATCTTGTAATTTTATTTTTGCTTTGTGTGCATGCTTGCGCGTGTTCTTCCAAATATTGAAGTGGAAAACTAGATGAATTTTGATTTTAAAAAGGGAGCTGTTGATTTGTGTTCAACTCATTGGAGTGGTGTTTTTTAGTTGTGCCATTTTGTGGTTTTTATGTTTAGTATTGGTTATTGTTCAATAGAAGAAAAATTGCTCTTCAGATGTAATAATTATGGGGAAATGCTCGGTCTTGTTACGGAACCATTCCGTGGAGAATTGTAATCGATTAGATCATCATGTAATCGTCGAGGATAATTCATCTAACGGTTACAATTCCCGACGGAATGGTTTCGTAACCGTAGCATCTCCCATCCCATAATTATGTCTGTTAATAAAATTTATTTTAAAAACCTAATTTCCCCTTTCTCCGCCGCTAAAAAAAAAGAAAACCTATCTCCAAAGCTGCCCCCCTTCTCCAGCGGCGCGACTCCCGTGGTCACCGGGCCGTTCCGGCCAAGTCGCGGCTGGGTGTTCCTTTCCGCCTCTAGGAGAGCTGCGGGTGGTTGGCCAGCGGCGATTTTTCGCTCCTCGGTTTATTCCCCACCTCCGGCGAGGTCGTCGGCTTCTCTTGCAAGGCCCAGCCGCGGGAGTTCGTCGGTCCGTTTGGAGGCTCGATTTGCATTGTCATGTTCTTCCTGGAGACGGACCTTGGCGTGGGCGAGCCCAACTCGCGTCCCGTGCGCCCCTGTTCAGTCGGGCTGCAGGTCCTTCGGGTCGGGCGGCTCGATTGCAGGTTGTCGTCTCCTCGATCTCTCCCTTCTAGGCCCTCGGCGGGTTCGTGATGGCTCTCCTCCTTTTCCCCGGCGGTGAAGGTCTTCGGGACTCAGATTTGGGCCGAAAATTCGTCTAGGCGGTAGAGTGACCGCAGTTTTCGAGTTTGGAGCCTAGTTTTGGTGCTCGGTTGGTTTTCTTTGTTGGGGTGTGACTTGGTAGACGGTTCATGTGATTTTGGGTGTCAGCTGTTAGGTTTAGGGGAGGTTTTACTCTATCTTGTTGTTTATTAGGTGTGTGTTACTTTTGATTTTTATTTTGTTGTGTTGTTTCTTTTAGTGCAGCTTGTCTGCTTTTAGTGCAGCTGTGTCTGCTTTTTTTCTCCTATATGGAGTTTTGTTTTGTAGGTGTTCACCTCCTTGATAGAGTTTGTACCCCTTGTGTGTGTCGACAAGGGGGTTAGTCCAGTTTTCTGGTCTAGTGTCATTTGACAGTTTAGTTGTTCTCTTTTGAGATTTTAGTTATTAATATAATTGACGTTGGAAAAAAAAAACAACAAAAAAAAAAAAATGATAAATTTCCACGTATAAATTCAATTCAATGAACTTTGGCTGGTTCCATCTGATCATAGATACCTTCATCTAGTCCAAATAAAAATATTGTGATCCAAATATTGAGAAAAATATCACCCAAGAGGCTAAAATCACTCCAGAAAAACAGTTTTAGCAATCCAATACCTTTATCTCTCTGCATAAATTGAGCATGAAAAATTACAAATCCTCATATGCTCCTTCAGATGCAATCCTCATTTCACTTACCTTTTCTCCAGAACAAAATTGATTGGACAAATCCAAAAAGATGCCAACAATCTTCGAAGGGGCTGCTCTATTCATAGTTCAGATGCACAACATATGGGAATAAAGGCATCCAGACAAAATTGGAATACATACAATATCGAAAAAAAAGAGGTTATCATTGTGTTTACCTGAGAAAATAAATTGCAAAGTTACCAAGTTACACAACTTACCATACACCTCGTCTCAGATAACACTAGCTTTTCACGGACAACTCTAGAGTCCAATGGCAGAAAAAGGCTTGTTTGCAGCATCTAATTTGCTTTACATGCTAAACGGCAAACCTGCACTCTTACATTGTAATCCTATGAAAATTACCAGAAAACGAGGTTTCTTCAAATCAACTTATTGTGGACTTGCGCACATATGGGGAAATTCTCCTCCCTTGTCTCAGATTCTACTATCTCACTTCACCGGTTACTTTTGTTCTCTTTATTTTGTTTCCTTTTTTTACATTTCTGATTGTTGTCTCATGGATTGGTAGAGACAGGGAGTTAAAAAAGCTGCATCAAGGTATTCCATTACCCAACTTAATTGGTTCCTCATGGCTGTTGCCTGAAAATAATGTCACTCGAGAGGAGCCACCTGGCAACTCAAGTTGGCATTCTTGGTGAGATAAAGGTAAATTTTTGGCTCTGAGAAGCGATTTATGAAAGTCGTCATGATCTAAAGGTTTTGCAAACACCAACTTCTCATTTAGCTCTTCATGGTGTAACTTCTTTCTTTGCACTTCATTCTTTACTGCCTAGAAGGAAAATTTTGAAGTGACGTGTATCAACCACAAATAACGAACGATCTTCAAGTACAATGAAAAAAATGATGGCATCTACAATTGAATGACTAAGTACTTGGTTGAAAAAAAAAAAGTACATCGTGCAAGTTTCAATCATAGGGCCCACAAAGAGAACAAAATGATACGAAGAAAGGTGATGCTCTAACAAACGACAGAGAAACTAAAATCAGATGGTCACACAATGATAAAATAAGACATTCTCCAAGACTTCCAAGTAGTGTATTATGTGAACTGAAATTGGAATAATCTACCACAGCCAAAAAAATAAATAAATAAATAAATAAATAAATAAACTTGTTAATCAAACTGATCTCTTTGTTCCTATGTAACTCCAATACCCCAAGAGTTTCTCAAAGCTCAACAGTAGTATCATCATATAATTTTAATTCAATTTAACAACCGGAAAATTCATGACAATAAGTAATGAATAGTCAGTCACACTTCTTTATTGCCAAATCATTCAACTCCAAAATCCTTACGCAACAATCACCTTCCAAATAACAAGATTTTTCCAATTATATCTGAAGACCACCTCAGAGGAACTAACATCTGAAAAGGACCAAGTCAGTTGGGCTAAAAAAATCTCATCACTACTTAAAACATACTCCCTCTGCCAATCCATAAAGATCTCAACATCGCGCTCATCTAGACCTAAATAAAATGGCATTGGGTTCAATTGGATGAATTCTCAAGGTTGACGTACATAGCTGCAAGGATGAAAGTCCGAACTATGAATGCTATGGGGCACAAGGTAGAGATTTGTCCGTGCCAATTTAAATATACTTCTCCACTTCTATGTGAATTAAGGTAAAGGATAAAAAGACAATCTTCTTACCTCTTAAGTATTTTTGTTAGGATTTCTTCATCGTATGTAAGTTGTTTCGTGTTTCACAACTTTTATTAAACAAAAAGGACATGAAAATAGAATAGCAGTCTAGCTATTAGTGCATCCATTATCCCATTTAATATTTCGAGGTAAATAAAGTTGTTCATGAACCTTGCAGTACATTTAAATTGGGACAATAAATAAAAGAAGCGTAGTAGTACATTTAAACTGGGAAGGAAGGAAATGGACACAACGGTAAGTACCAGAAGAATTTGCATAACAATGTTCTGAGACATCTCATGAAAACTATGTGCTAAATAGCCTAAAATTAAATGAACTAAGTCCTAAACCCATGATTAGCCAAACAGGACTGATTGCTAAGTTTTACTATCATACAATCATCATCAGCTAATATAGCCAAAATAGGAAGTGTTTGACAACTCTTAATTTTTTTTTAAGAGCTTCTATTTTTTCGACTAGTATCTGAGAATTTCTTACTCATTCTCATGGTATATGTCAAAGGTAATCTACTCAACAGTTTGTTATATTTCCCTCGACTTGAGGAGCCAAAGGTAACCCACTCAGCTTGCAGGTAAAAGAAATAGAAGCCAATTAACCTATGGTGTTGCACATAAAATAAGTTTAGAGAATACCCAACTCTAGGACTATAGACAAGAAAAGTAAAACTGCGAAAGGCTAATAGAACACCGCATACGAGAGAGCATACGTTCCTACAAGGTTTCTTCACAGAAAATGGTAAAAGATGTGATCATTGCGAAAGAGCAATTGCAGAGCTTAGGTTATGCACAAGTAATTTATCAGAAGCAATCACTCTATTGAGAATGCAAACTCTTCTACAAACAACAACATAATCAGCTTGTAACGTACAACTACACCGCACTTTGATATCCCAAGCCAAAATTAACTCCTATAAAATCCAAAATTCCGATTCTAAGCAGGTAGAACATGCAACAGCTGCAAAAGCAATGTAGGTGAAACACAACAACACAAAAGGCACAATGAACAAGAATGGCAGCACAAAAAAGGAAGATCAAAACTAACCTGCAATAAACCCATATCGAACTTCGGAAGGCCAACCTGCGAAACAGTAAGCGAACCGAAAAAGTTCCCTAACAAGGCTGCATCTGGGACGTTCAGGCCCTGTACAAGCCCGAAAACAAGCCCGCCCAGAAAACTATCCCCTGCTCCAGTGGGATCCACCTGTAAAGTCGGAAAGGGAGCAATATGCTGCTCCACATCCCTATAATGAACCCTGCACCCTTCTTCCCCATTTGTCAGCACCACACAGCATGCATTCTTCGCCTCATCCACATCAATGTATGGAGCCTCGTCGGATGAGGCTTTGAGAAACCCGATCCTTGGGAGGAGATGGTAAAACCCTGAATCCCTCAGTTTAACGAGCCCCACCGTTCCATCGCCGCCATCAAAAACCCGAATCAATGCCTGCACATCGACCAGCACCGTCTCACAAATGTCGAGCATTTTCTCCAGTGTATCCGGCAAAATCTCCCCGCCCACGCCAACGGCCAAGCCGAACTCGAACCGCCGAGAGTCTGGGAGATCGGAGGGGCCGATGGGGTCGCAAGCGTGGACGCGCCGGAGGACGCGGTCCTCTCGCTGGACCTGCGACGAGAAATGGGCGTGGAAGAGGGTTGTCCCGGAGGAGGGGGAGACGCGGGGCGGGTGGGTGACGGGGTAAGCGAAATCGGTGCCCACCTTGGCCACGAAGGTGGAGGCGACGGCGACGCCGTCCAGCACGGCCGAGACGAAGGCGGCGGCGGCGCCGAGGGATTCGCCTAGAACGACGTCGTCCTTCATCAGGACGTCGTGGCAGTAGTTGCCGACGACTAGGCATGACGTGGGTTTTCGATTTCCATCCATTCTCGCTTTTCCCTTTCCTTAAATCCCTTATTTTTCTTTCCGGGGATCGGAGTTGTCAGCGAAGGGGGAACTCGGGAGGCGCCATTAAAATGCGAGCCAGGGAAGGAGACAAAGATGGTTTCTCGAATGGGTGGCTACACGTGGTAGTATATAGCGATGGGCGGAGAAAGGTGGTGGCTAATTAGAATTTATGCTTGGCAGAAAAGGGGGAAGGATTAGGAAAGTGACCATGAAAATCAAATGCATTGGTGACTGAATTGATTCTTGATTTTGATTTTTTCCTTCACAAGGTTTGGCTTCTTTGTCGAGTGCTAATTCAATGGGTGTTGTGGAGAACATTTGATTAGTGAATTACATCAAAATGTTTATTTAGAATTTGCACACAACTCGTGCTGTGCAAATAATTGGTAATAAATTATATTATTTTTATTTCACAATAAGTGTCATTTCAAACTTTTATTCGGAAATTTGATTTCACTACAATGTGACTTCATAAAATAGTTATTGTAGGATAATTTTATCATATATTTAACAGCCTACGTGAATAATAAGTATAAATATAAAATTTATATTGTTTCATTACTTAAAATACATTTATTTTTGTATAAAAGTTTCAAATAAAATAAATTAAGTAGTTGAGTAATTTATTAAACTATAAATAATTGACTATTTCGTTTACGTACAAGTTAAATTGACCCGTAAGTTATTGAGTGATTTATTAAACTATAAATAATTGATTATTTCGTTTACGTCCAAATTAATATTGACCCGTAAGTTATGAATAATTATTATTTTTATTTTATTTTTAAGTAAAAATATTTTTTAATATATTATATAAATTTAAACCATGCAACTAATAAATGTAATAGTCGCACTATTTGACTTAAATGATTTTTCAATTAATTGCATTAATTTATGCGGGATTTTTCAACTTTTGGAAAAAAAAAAAAAAAACTTAATTTAATAAATACGAATTTTTAGGCAGGAAACCAAATATTTTTTTACTTGTTTTTAGTTACTATTTCAAATAAATATCATTGTCTTTTTATATATTAATAGATACTATAATATAAAACTCTTTATTCTTATCAATTTTTTTTAATACCATTAATTTTACATAAATATGAATTAGACTTAATTAAGATAAATGTAATTAAATTAATATTATTTATGGTAAATAAGTCATAACTATTATCTTAATTAATGGCACACATGAGTAGTGTTTCATTGTTTATAAATATTTCATTCGCTTTCATGCAATCAAACGTGTTTCTTTACTATACTATGAGAACATTCATATAAACTCCAACAATCACCAAATTCGAACTAAGTCAAGACATTTCAATATGATTTATCAATTTATTAACACCTTTTTATTACAATATAGAGATCTAAAATAGTAGCTTCAAGTTCGTAAAATCCCGATAAATTCCAATCTCACTCAAATTCATCATTTTTATTTTTATAATATTTATTTTCATAATAGATTATAAATCAAGTCTTTGAGGAGGTCGTCCTCATCGATGAGGTAAATATAACTCAAATCGGGCTCGAAATAAAAATTGGAAGTCAGAACATGGTTAGGGATGTGCTCGGTTAAATCGAATTGGACCTGGCTGTTATATCGGGTCGAATATGTTGTAGATGAAGGAGATAGATTTGAGATGTCTTAGGGCTTGCTTATTTATGGATTAATTTACTCACTTTTATTTCAACTCAAAATCTAACTCAACTTTAGCTCAACCCCACTATCTTTAATATTATTCATATAATTAAATAATACAAATCAATCATTCTTACATATCACATCAACTTTAATTCACTATTCATCCACTCACATAATTTTTAAATACCTATCATTTCCAATCATTTCCAATCATTTATCTCTTACTTTTACATCAAATCAATTTTAATTATTTTATTCTAAATATTATTTTAATACATTCTTAAAATTCCACTACAACTAACCATACCACATTTTTCAAAATTAACTATAGTTAACCAAAATAACTCAATTTGAACAAATTATTTCATAAACAATCAAGCCCTAACAATCTTATATGCTGTAAAACTTCAAACCTTGATTTTCTATTCTTTCTGTTCTTTTTTCGAATGCCACTAATCTTACAAACATAAAAACCATAACTTAGCTACCATATTAATGTGAGAAGAGAGTAATATCTTCAGGTCTAGTACTATCTCTAGACCTGGTGCATTCAGAAAGGAGGCCCAGTGTTCGTAGCTGGCATGGCATTCATAATACTCGGTGATCAATTATTCTCCGGGGGGGTATGTGGTTGGTCAAATTAAAAGTGAAAATTCAAATTTGACGATCCCCAAAAACTTAAGAAAAATTGAAACTAAAGGAGCATTCTAATGCAGGGTCATAGGAGCTGTACTCATTATAATCGGGCTATACCTACCTAGTCTTATGGGGAAAAACAGCAGAGATGAGATATCAGACTCACGATACTGAAGAGACTTTGACAAAAC